TACTTAATTGAAAGGGTTGACACATTGTCTGTGAGCATTTCCTATCGCAATATTGCCACCATATGAAAGCATCTTAAATAGTCCGTTTTGAACATCAATATGATCAGAATGATTTAAACATTATTGTTACTTGTCAAAGTATTAGTTCCTTTGTCTATTTTCTTTTTCTCACAAAATCTCATGTGTGCAGCAACTACCATTGACCTTTTGTATTTTCATGACCTTCAATTATCTCTATTAACAATTTAATTCTTATTTCTTTGAAGTAGAAGTGTTCGGAAACAAAAATTGTATTTGGCAAGCACATGTTATATATAATCTGTTATCTTTATAGGGACAGAGAATACAAGAGAAACAAGGCCAGAGAGCACAATCTACCTACTCACAACATGGAAAAAATGTCAATGAGCAGTTTAAGTCGGGGTAATTATATAGTTTACTTTTCATGACTAATGTCACCTGTACCTCTTCATGAAATTCATCAAGCCAGTCCTCATCAAATAAAAGTAATATAACACCATTATGTGTATTTATTTAAAATGTTGGATGCTATTTCTTTTTTAAGTTGGTCAACATTTGGTCCCCACGTCGATTTCTTTTCCTTTTTTGCCATATGTAGATACATAAAAATGAACAATAACTGCATAAATATTCATTATTGCAACTGATAACAGTAGTGGACCTCCTTGCATAACACCAGGTTGAATGAGGGGTATCCGAAAAAAATGACAGATAAATGTCAAAGGCGAATGTTATTTTGAAAATAATTTGTTATTGGACAGTGTTAAAATTACTGTTATTTTGATACTAAATATGCCATCAGTGTACATGAAGTAAGAATAGCGATACGTTTGATTAGAAAAACACAAAAATTTCACATATTTCAAAATATAACCCACATTGTAGAAGGTGTTATATGACAAATATACCAGTTGTCTTTGTTTGGAAATTCCTGATGTTGAGAGATAACATTGGTAGCAAACTTTTAAAAAGGTACTATGTAACTTAACGTGTCCAAAATGATAATTTTATAGTATTGTTTTATTTAAATGCTCTAGGGAGATTTGTATTACCACATCTTTAAATACCGTACTGATTAAGTCAATGAGGTCCAATTTGTCCTGAAGTGAATTCTGAAACTAACTGTTCCTGATTTAAGCTTGCTATACCCATACCTTTTTTATTAGCTCACCTGGCACAAAGTGCCAGTAGCATGCTGAGATGAAGGGCTACAAAGTTTGTTCAAATGAATGACCTTCACCCATACTCAAGGTCACAGGGGTCAAATATGTTAAAAACTTTTAAACATTTTCTTCTGAATAACCAAAATGCCCAGGGTGAGTACATTTGGCCAGTAGCATGCTGAAATGAAGGGTTACACAGTTTGTTCAAATGAATGACCTTCACCCATACTCAAGGTCACAGGGGTCAAATATGTTAAAAACTTTAAACAACTTCTTCTGAATAACCAAAATGCCCAGGGTGATGATATTTAGTCAGTAGCATACTAGGATCAAGGGCTACCAAGTTTGTTTAAATGTATGACCTTGAATCATATTCAAGGTCACAAGGAGCAAATATGTTCAAAATATTTAAACAACTTGTTCTGAATAACCAAAAGGCTCAGGATGTTGATATTTAGTCAGTAATTTAGTCTGATCAAGGACTACTATGTTTGTTAAAGTGAATGACTTTGACTTACATTCAAGGTCACAGGGGTCAAATTTGTTTAAAATCTTTAAACGACCTCTTCTGAATAATCATGGGTCCCAGGATGTTGATACTTTGCAAGTTGCATACTGAGATGAAAGGCTATACAATTTGTTCAACATAATGACTTGGTCGACTTTCAAAGTAACAGGGGTGAAATGTTTTAAAATCTTTAAACCGGTTCTTTTGAATGACTTTAATCATAAATACTGATATTTTGCCTGTAGCTTTATTTTAGATCACTTTTAAGGTTGCAAGTGTGAGATTTATACCAGGTGAGCGATGCAGGCCCATTGGGCCTCTTGTTTATCATATTTTGAAATTACAATCAAGGGCCGACACATATTTTTAAATCTCCATAGGAGTTGACCTTACCTTGATACAGCTATAAAAACTTGTCCTTTTTTTTCAGAAATATGATTTGCAAGATTACATGGGTGATCTGATAGCAAAGGCAACTGTTGTAGCCTATCCCTGTATAGATATGTGTAAGTACTCAGATTATGTTCAGCACCTAAAACCTACAATAGTTATATGGTTTTTAGCTCACCTGCCCAAAGAATGGGTTAGTGGATTTTAACTAAATTTGGTCTGGAGCATCCTTGTGCCAAGGGTACACAATTTTAAATAAACATTGGGTGTGGCCCTGTTGGGGCAGAGGGGTGGGTCTGTATATGGGAAATAGAGGTAAACCTTTAAAATACTTCTTTACCATAAAACTTAAGCTGAGATTAATGCAGGAATAGAAAGCTAGTACCCTTTATTGAAATAGGGGAAAATATGTGCAATAGGTGTACATGTATGACCAGTGTCCAAAGAGGGATGCATGCCAGAGGAGAGTACATGAGGGGGTGGAGCATGGATCACAGTTAATCTTTGTTTCTCTCTCTCTCTTCATAATAGATTCTTTGGATTGACCACCAGATATGCATCAGAATAAAACGTTTGTGGGACTTATGTAATTGCTGACCGTAAACAGGGCTTACTGTAAATAGTGTTGCAAAATATCAACAATGACAATTAACATGAACACAGGGAAATTGCAATGAATTACTTGGACATGCTACTTATGGAAAATAAAAACAAAATGGAACCAAGGCAGATATTCAAGTGGTAGTATTTCAGTTACAAGTGGGGGAATTTTTTTAACTATTACAGGGGAATATAAAGCTGAAACGAAGGGAAATAATGCCAAAATTTGTGAGGAGATTCGGCCCATATTCGGCCATAAAAAAGGCCTGTGTATATCCATACCAGTGTTAGACACTAACTGTATTTGCATAGTAGACAGCAGGTCCACTAACATTTTATTTCAACTAGACCTGCCTTGTAGCTAGTGTACCGGACGAGGCGGCCTATGGCCGCCGAGCCGAGGGGCGCAGCCCGGAGCCAGGGAGAGAGCACGAGAGGGGGGCAGGAGCCCCCCCCCCCTCTCGTAAGGGTGGTACGGGGAAAAATTTGAAATCCTAGGTGGCTGAAGATGGCATTTGAGCAGTTTTGAGTGTTATATTCCAATATTTCTGACCTGAGATTTTGATGCTTTTTACTAAGAAATAATGGAAAAAGAGAAAACAATACTTGTTTTTTTAGTTTTTAATATTCATAGAATCCATGAGGAGCTTATACTGTTTATTTTGAAGCATCAGTAACTCCCTTCTGCTTCATTTCTCCTCTTCCTCATCCGAATCACTTTGTTCTCCACATCTTGCCTTCTCTGCCATCTGCCCCTCTTCTTCCATCTCTTCCTCTACCTGCCCCTCTTCCTCTTCCTCCATCTTTTCCATGGCCTCTCCTCCGTCTTCATTCATCTCCCCTGTGCTCTCAGCTGGCTCTCCATCTATCTGCACTGGCAGAAGTTTCCAATGACAACAGGACCGTAACACCTGAAAGTTTTTGAATATACCTGCCCCTGGTATAGAAAAACATATGCTTGTAATTTGTATTTTAAGGTATGGGAATCTTATTTAAAAAGCAAACCGTTTTGTTTTATATTATGTAATATATAGATGTAGCTGTAACTTGTAATTCAACACCTGGCGACCTAATAATACAAATTTTTGAGCTGCCTTGTCATTTCTGTAGGTTTTTCCAATGTCCTGACCATTAGCTTCATTTAGGCTACATAACCATACAAAATTCGTGTATGGTCGACCTGACTTTGCCATCCCATGGGCTGTCCTAAACAACGTACAGAGTTTCCCTACTCTAGATTTGTCGAGAACTAGCGATTTTGCAACAATTGACTGGGCAACAGGCATGGATTTGGCATTGAATTTGGCTACATTAAATTTGTGTGCGCCTGCAGTGTTGTGAATCCTGATAGTGTCTATTTTGAAGTTGCTGTTACCCGTACAAAATGTACCAGCTGTTTCCAGCTCACGGCAGACTTTACAAAACATGGTGTTCTTTTCGTCATCGTAAACAAGCCAGCTGAACGCTTCTTGCAAGGCCGTTTGAAATTTACGCTGCCGCTTGGCTTCATACACCTTATGTGTCTCACGCTTTTCCTCGCTTGTCTTTTTTACTGGTTGGGCCTTTGGTCTTGCCCCAGTTACCCAGCCGAGCAAGGACATTATTTACAATACTGAAGGTTCACTCAGTTTACCAGACGCTCGATTGCTATGCTTTAACATCATACAAAGCAAGCGCACGAATGACCATGATGTAACATCTATCTCAGTACGCCCCTGGTACACTCGGATTGCGTACGTATAGTTCAGGTTATCACAGCTCTCGTAAACATTGAAAACAAATGCCGAAAACAAACAACGATTGATCGATATATATGTTTATTACATGTTAGCAATTTAATGTGATACTAAAAGAGTTTTACTAATAGTATTGGTTGTCAAATTTGCAGGTGGTCCACCGGACCAACGCTGTCACACTGCCAGGTAGACAGACAGATTTTTAGGTAGACTCGGTCCAGCAGGCCACCGTTAGTGTCGAACACTGCATGCTAAGGGATTTCATCCCTATTTGGTCTGGAGGATCCTTGGTGCAAGGGCACTCAATTCTGTATACACCATGGATGTGGCCCCCAGGGTTGAGGGGTGGGGCCAAATAGGGGAAATAGGGGTAAAACCTTTGTAATCTTTCTACCATAGGGATCATGGGATGTTATCCCAATTTTGTCTCCATCTAGTTGTCTAGTAGTGCCTGTTTCTATTAGAGTGTATTCTTTAAAACAATAGGGTCACCAGGCCGCCATCTTGGAGTTGGGGGGGGGGGGGGGGGTAAAATTTGATTCAGTTAATATTCAAGTAATACATGTATTTTAATAATTTGAGCCAAAATAATTCAAACGTGATTGCAACAATAATGTTGAAATGTCCAACGTTAGTTGTTTAGAAAGCAGTCTGAACAGCTGGCTATGGAATGGTACCTTCCTTTATGGGAAAGGAAGGGAAAAGCAGTGTAAGTGTTACCGTGTCTGTTATATCCTGCCATGACATGTCAGAATACCGTGTTACTGGCTGTACCTTCTTCATTTCTTGACTGCTTTTACATATAATATTGGGTATATCACAGGTATATAGGTCAAAACCAAAAGACCAAAGGAAAAATCCATTCTTACAGACATTTTATTCAATATGATATTGAAATTATATTACTTTAATATGTAGGTGTAGGTGATTAAAAATTGTACAAATGGTGGGGCTGACTCCCCAGGGGGCTTAGGGGCGGGGCCAAAAGGGGGCAATTTGGCTAT